AGATTGATCGAATCTGGACCAATAGTGGATGAGCAGCCGAACTACTTTCCGCCGTCCAGCGCCACGCTACGGAAAGTTTAGGCAGGTAAATTGAGTTTACTATCGTCTGTACAGTATTATATATTAATTATATATAAATTAGGTACTGTATATATAATTATATATTAAGTTAATTTATTGTAACTTTATTATAATTATGTATATACTTTCCGCCGTCCAGCGCTACGCTACGGAGAGTAATTAAAATTAAGGTAATTTTTCTCTTTTAGATTTACAGCAATTTTAATAATTAAAAAAGTATATAAACATTTTCGAAATTTACTTTTCAATTTTTAACACTTTTCGCTCCTGTAGGCATTAAGGAACATTATATAACATCATCTATGACGCAATATCGACGTATTGAAGTAACTTTCTATCACGTTTACTATCTTTCTATCCTTTAGTGAGTACAGTTTTAATAAGTATATTAGTAGTGAAATCACATTGAGAATATATAGCGAATAGTAAACGAAGAGAGTAACTGTACTTAAACAAAATACGAAATTAACTTATTAATCGACATATTTATTATAAACAGAAATTAAAAATCTTCAATAGTATATATATCACTCTCAATCTATAACACAGTTTGTGTAAGTTATTTGTTAGATGTGTTGATGAAATCTATCGCGCCGTTCGGATTGTACACGATTAATTCGTGTACCTGTATATTGAATAAGAAGGAACAGAAGATATACTTTACATTTTCAGTGTTAATTTGAATGTACACGCATTTCGTAGAGATCATTTTCTGGATGGTGAATATTCTGTTTTTCGTAATGTTAATCGATGGCAATTTTTACAGTTTATTAGTTAAGAATATGTACGAAGAAAGTGCGTTAGAAAAGTCAATTGTAAATTCATTGATATCGAGTTATCTGTGGGTCCAATACAATATTTACAAGAGTAAGAAAATTCGCTACGACGGTCGTGTCAATATATCAATATTAACAGACGTAATTAATCATTGATAACTCTACATCACGGATAACACGGTATCAACTTGTCTTTTATGTAATCGAATTTATAAAAAATGCAAACATATGAAATTTAAATCAGTAATTATTTTGTTTAATTTATTGGTAAATACGAACTGTTTGAAGATATTTGAATTTAAAAAATCCTGCAAATCTGACANCTAGAAATATAACAATATTTACGCTGTTATGTGTTTAAACTTGAAATGCAAGTAAGAAAATACCTCATCAACCCAAAACATAGAGTATTTTTATTTAAAATTGAACCCATCTGTTATAGACTATACGTGAAAAAATCATGTAAACTTTAAAATTCCATATGTGAAGAGTGAAGCACGAGACCAGCTACCACTTTTCAAGGGTTGTAATCAACTGGCCGCAGTTGTGATCGAAAATTAAGCTTGCATTATAATTCTATATAAGTATACACAAGTAAATGAAGTAATAAAATGTTTTGATGAATAATTAAAACGTACAGGTACGTGAACAACAAGATTGTTCATGTGCAAAGGTCACTAATAAAAAAAAATACATGTTCGTCTTTATGTACATTTCCATTTGACACAGTACCTATCAGATTTTTAGCATACCTCCTTACAAAAATTTTGAAATTATCCGTTAAAGTATTGCATGAGTATGAACCTTTGGCTAGTAGTATTAATTGCTCAGTTCATACTGCGTTAGATTTAGAGTACTTGGTGGCTAAAGGTGGCAGGAGAGGTAGTACCTTTAGTTTGGATCAACCAACAACTGGTCCTCACCGCACCTAGGGAACGAGAAGCGATTAAAAACTATTTAGTCTTTCAGCCGCTCTCTTGCCAAGACTGCCCGTGCATAATGAGAAACAACACTCTACTCGAGGTGCCACTGTTAAAGCAAAACACGGCGGATCTAGACTGGACGTCGAAAAAATGTCTCTGGTCTTGGGAAGCAGCAAGGCCAGTACTGGCTTCAGGCTGAAAACACCATTTATCAGAAAGGCTTGTGACGAGGAAGCTGGAAGCAAGATCGCATCAGTCAAAGTTGGTTCCAGTTCTGTGATGTCGAAGGCAACGAGAAACCACCACATTACCTATTCCTAGTTTACAAACGTATCTGCAATTCTCATGATATCATTTCAACATGCATCTAGTCTGCCATGCGATCTGACTGGCGACCGGCGACATTCTGAATCCAGGTCAGATGGTGAGAAATATGCTACTGGGTGCTTATCAGTGAGCTACCAGACTATATGCAGCAAATCGACTACTGGAAGCCAAAAAATAAACAATACCCCAAAAATCATCACAAGGAACATAAACAACATAGGCATGTGGAATATAAGAACGTCGCGACGTTCTTATATTCCACATGCCTATGTTGTTTATGCGCCCCAAAAGAAGTCCTAAACGAATTCTATGAACAGCTTGAGAAGACACTTGGGCATGCAAAGAGACTAGATGTCAAAATAATAATGGAAAACTTCAATGCCAAAGTTGAAAATCGCAGAGTAACTGACATAGTAGATGACTATGGACTGTGAAAAAAAACGAACATGGAGATATGCTTGTTGAATTTGTAGAACGCCATCACATGTATCACAAACACCTGCAAAGATTGTACACATGGAAAAGTTCTCAAGACAGATAAAGCAGAATAGTACGAAATCAAATAGACTTCACCTTGATCAACAAACGATACAGAAACTTAATTCTCAATGTTAAAACAAGGCCTTCAGACGACTGCTACACTAATCATAATTTACTCCATGCCAGGTACGCCATTCACTTAAAAAAAAGTACAAAAAATATCAAAAAGAAAAAGTTACATTACAACCTTGACAAACTGAAAATAAGCAAGGTCAGGAAACATATCAGTGAGGCGGTTACAAAAAAAATTCAATATAAAGACATTCCCTCTATAGAAAAACACTTAGAATACATAAAAAGTGCAATTAAGAATGCTGCCTGTACGCTACTTAACAAAAAAAAAAAGCGGAAAAACCCTTGCATCACAGAGGACATTTTGACAATGATGGGTGATCACAGAAAGTTTAAGAACCGAAACCCTGAAGAATACACAAAAAAACATCATTGGACAATGCAGCAGGAATGTGCCAAAGCTAAAGTAAATTGGTTCGAAGAAAAATGTGAAAGAATAGCGCAGCACGAGAGAAAGCGTCATACCAGAAAAGTCCATAGAATCATCAAAGAAACCAGGAAGGAATTGAAGAAAACAAAGAAGGAATAACAAATTTAATACACCAACAAAACAAATGAAATGTGGAAAAAAAGACAGAGCTAAACTTGGGCAGAATAAATTCAAACTTTGTTTTGGTATCACAACAGACATCTCAGGGTTCATTCAACAGAAGGAGATGCTGCCTCTCCTATTACGCTAAGAGAATTAGAACGTGCTATGGACTCCATGAGATGTGAAAAAGCTTTTGGTGGTGATGATATTCCAGCCGAGCTCCTCAAATTCTTGGACACGTTTGCAAAACTATAGCTATTAAATCTTTTTAATAGAATGTACAGCTACCACACGACTTCAAAAGATCCACTTTATCCTAATCCCAAAGAGACACAATGCCAAGCAGTGTGACCAATTTCGAACCATAACTTTAATGAGCCATATCCAAAATCTCTTACTAAAAATGATAGGATTTTGAATAAGAAACAGAACGGAGGTTCAGTTAGGACCATTGCAATTTGGGTTTAGGCCTGAGATGGGCACTGTTGATGCATTGTTTGCTGTGAGAATTTTATTGGAAAAAGCCATAGAAATGCAAAAAAAGTTATACATTTGTTTCGTCGACTACGAAAAATCTTTTGACAAAGTACAACACCCACTTTTAATAGAAACATTAAAGATAGTCAATCTGGACACAAATGACTACAAACTGATCGGAAACCTGTACTGGGACCAGACTGCCACAGTTAGACTGGACGACATAGAAACAGCACCGTGCCAGATAGAAAAAGGTGTTTACACTTTTCAATGTCTTCTCAGAACAGTTAACACGGGAATGTTTTTGCGGGATGTAGGAATCAAGGTCGGAGGAGTGAATATCAATAACAATAGTAGGCCGACGATCTTGCGTGCATTGCCACATCCGCAACAGCGCTCTAACAGATACTAAACTCACTCCAGTCGAATAGTGCGAAATATGGCATGCATATCAATGGGATAAAAACGAAAATGGATAAGAATTAGTAAAGACTCCGCGACAGACAATTCCCAAATATTAGTAGACGGTACTGTACTGGAAAAAACAACCAAATTCAAGCTTAAAGCTTAAAGTACAGTGGGTGATCGGTTTACAAACAAATCGGATAAAGAACACTTACGAGAAAGATTTTTATGCTCGGCAACGAACACATGATCAGATAACGAACACCTCACAGTACAAACACAAGTAAAAGCGACGTAAAATAATGAATACCGATTGGTCTACCCTTGTCTTCAGACAACAATTCGAAATATTTTGAAAACCCTGGAGACATCGACATCGATGTCTCCAGGGTATATACAATCCGGTATATACTGATCAGATAGTATTCCTCCGAACTTTGAAACTCTCATTTGTAATTCCAGCCTTTTATTTTTCTGACAAAATTTTTTTTCTAGTATTCACGACACTGTAGGGCAAACACCCGTTAAGTTTTGCGTCTGGTTTTATTTTCGAAAGATGAGAGTATAATAGCAAAAGTAGAGAGTAGGCTGATATCTGATGTTTGTTGTTGACAGGCAGATGGATTGAATAGGTCTACAGTAGGCAGTAGTTAAATTTTTTCTAATAAAGTTACTGTATTATGAAGAAGACTCAAGTACCTTAAGGAATAACAAAAATCATATCTGAGAAATAAAGAACATTGAAAAGCTGATAATGGAAGCTGAAACAGATCTGACGACAAAAGAACGCCAAGCACTCTTGCTTGAAGAACACCGAGAAACTCGACAAGATATGTTTTCTTCTGAAAAAAAGAATTAATATCGATATCTGCTATTAAATACTTTTTAAAGACGTGAGATGATGTCAGAACGATGATATTGAAGAAGAGAGAAAAGAAATCGACACTAGATTTTCTTTTCTCTCTTCTTCAATATCATCGTTTCAATCATTCACTTCAATTTCACAAAAACACAATTTCACACAATTTCACAAAAAAATTCAATCAATATCATCGACACTAGATAGATTCTTTAACCCCCATAAACGGAAATAACATGACTAATAAATAGGCAAGACTGTGTATATATGAATTTTTTTATTACATACTAGCTGCAAGGACCCGCTTCGCTGAGTTTTTATTTGTTCCTACATTTGTATGTAATATAGTTTTATATATATATATATAAAATACTGTTTTTCTAAGTAATCTAGAATTTAGCTGCAAGGACCCGCTTCGCTGGGTTTTTATTTGTGAGCAAAAAGTAACGATAGTGAAGATTAAGATAATTACATTATAGTTAATCTTAACACAGAATGCAAGAATTAGGTCCCCAGTTTCGGACTAATTAGAGAATTTTCACATGAGTGTAAAAATATGTTCGATTTTCCGCAAAAACGCAAAAAACCGCCTGTAAATCTTGCATGCCGCTTCATATTAACACTTCCATCCTCAACGCTTCCATCCTCAACGCTTGCAGCCTCAACACATCTTCGAAGTCAACTACTTTCTTCGAAGTCAACCCCATATCCCTCGCACCCTTATCGTTATCGAGACGCAACTACCATAGTGCACGAATGGAGACTTGGGGCTACTACCACATACTAACACCATTCATGTACGATGTGTAGTTTTGATTGAAAAGTGAAATATAGGGACACACATGTCCATTTATATATATCAATAGACTTGTGTGTCCCTATATTTCATTTTTAACGTAGTAAGAAAGTATATATTTTTTATTTTCTGGTGTCTCCAGAACGAATTAATGAAATCCTCATAAAAACCTATAATAAATCGATAATCGGTTAACGTACAATTCGGATAGCGAACAAAGTCTTGAAACAGATTATGTTCGTTAACCGATCACCCATTGGAGTACATTGCTACATATGTTCTTTCTTGCTGTACGAATACGAGACATGCACCCTGAACAAGTGCAAGGAGAAAAGGCTGACAGCATTCCAGATGTGGTGCTATCGCCGCATGCTACGGATAAGCTGGACAGAGCGAGTGACCAACGCACATGTGCAGAAATGGACCAATGTGGGAGAGTGACAATTGCTTCCTATCTTAGAGAAACGCAAAACAAAATACTTTGGCCACACCATCCGGCCATTAACTCACTGTTTCCCGTTTTATTCCCGTCATACTGCAGGGCAGGATCCAAGAAACCTGTACCCAAGTAAAACAACCGAGATTCTACCTACAAGATATAGCAAAGTGGACTTTAATTAACTAGAATCAACTAATTCACACTACGAGTAATCAGGAGGAGTGGCGATCGATTGTTAGCAACCTCCCGTTCGGAAGATCTACATACATAGATATATAATGACAGATCAATACAGTACAATTCAACGAAGATTGCTTTTTGGATCAGCAGATGAATTTATATGCAAATAGTTATGCGACTTCTAAACAATATACGTAAGTAATATAAATGAAGTCGCATAGCGATTTTCATATAAGTAATATAAGATAAGTAATTTTAAATTAATTAAACTAATATATTAGTATTATGCAAAGGTTAAAAATTCTTTAAAAAAATTACTCACATTATTCCATGTAGCCATAACATTTTTCATCAATATTCCACATTCGTTTAATTTTGCATTTTCATTTGCAGTTTCGACTGAATTATTTATTTTTTCTTGAAGTAGAAGAAAGTCCTACGTAACACAATCAAATATTATTATCAATAAAAAAATATTGCATGTAACGCTATTTTAAAATACTTATTAATAAATTATTGTAACATTTTAAATCAATACGTGTTATGATTTCTTATGTTTCATTATACAAATGTGATATTTGAGGGACGAAAATATATTAAAGCTTTAATGCAAAAAAAAGCGTTTCATCAGAAAGACAATAGCTGAATGCTAAGTCAACATAGCCTGACGAAAAATCAAGATCTTCCGAAAAGCAAGCAAAGCTACATTTACGGTATATGTATTCTATTTCTAATTAAATTTGTCTGAATTTATTGTTTTGCGAATATATTTCAACATATTATTACAGTCGTGTAAGAGCGATACTTAAGAGTTTTCTAATATAAACTAAGTTACATTCTGCAGTAGAATCGAGAAAAGAATCAAATACGAACTTCATCTTTTACTCATGTGTACATATCTCTCTTCGGTAATGACGATATTGGAATACAGATACAGTAGAACCTCCATTATCCGGATTTTCGATTATCCGGATTGTTCAAAATATACAAAAATTTTACGAATTTGCTGATTTGCACTTGGCGAATTACGACACTGTTTATGTACATNCGTTTTAAAGAATGCAATCGAAAAGATCAGCCTCCCTGTTGTATAAATTGTAAGACCTATAACAAAGACTTACAACCCGACAAAAGAATACCAACCAATCACAATGCCTTCGATCCTTACTGTCTGCAAAACCTCAGATTAAAGGAGCAGGCTATCAAAAAGATTAATTATGGATACTAGGCTTATCAAGCATAATATAACACTGTTACAAATCAATCTGCAAAGGTCTAAGGCAGCCACAACTGAAGCCCTCCAAACTGCCATTAATCATCAGGCTGACCTACTAGTGGTGCAAGAGCCCTATTGCTTCAAACAGAAAATTGCTCTCTTTGGCAATTACAACACTCTTTACTACACCAACGGTCACAACACCCCTCTCACTGGGGTCATTATAATGAACAAGAACATTGACGCCCAACTTCTGGTCCAACATAGCACCTACTATTACACAACAACTCTCATCAATGTAGGTGGCAGTCCGATTATTATCATCTCTTTCTACTGTGCCCCTTCTGAGGACATCAACATTCCACTGGACTGTCTTCAAACTACCATCCAGCAACTCAACAACCACCCTGTCTTAATTGCCAAGGATTTCAATGCCAAGTCCCCTCTGTGGTTTAGTTCAATAGAGGATCCCAGAGGTTACAAGGTTACTGAGTTTATGAACTTACTGAACTTTCAATCTCAGAACACCAGCACCCTTCCCACCTACTCCTGTACGTCTGGTGAGAGCTGGGTGGACCTTTGCCTGGCTAATCGGGCAACCTCCCGGCTCTTAAACTCCTGTTCCACGCTGGCAGAGCACTCTGCTAGTGATCACAGGTACATTAAAAGTATCATAGGCACTCCAAGCTTAAGGAAGAATGTGCAGATTGTTCAGAAAACTGACTGGGAGCAATTTCAAAGCCAAAGCAAAACTGGCATTGTGGCCCTATCGCTGAAATCACAAACACCGAAGAGCTAACTACCCTCATCGACGACCTTCAAAAAATTATTCATATTGCTTATCATGCCTCAACCAAAGTTAAAACTGCCAAGCTCTTTGCTCCCTGGTGGACTCAGGAGCTCTCAAACCAGATAAGGTCTTTAAGGAAAGCCAGGAACAGATACAGAAGAGTGAGGGATCTACACAGAAGAGAAAACCTCAGGCAGCATTACCAAACCCTCTTCAGGAACTACAAAACTGCAATTAATCGGACGCGCACCAACTCGTGGCGTAATTTCTGCTCGAGCATAGGTAACTCAAGGCCCTGGTCCACCCCGTACTATATCGCCCGGGACAAAATCAAGAACACTAGGATCCCTGGTAATCTCAACCAGAACATTAGCAACCTCAGCACCTCCATTTATGACACTTACTCCCAGATACTACAAGACTTATTCCCGACTGATGACCCAACTCAGGATAACAACTACCAAGCTAACATCTGCTATCACTGCAATAATAATTTGTCTACCACAGATGAAGCCCCTTTTACAGCCCAGGAGGTTGCGAGGGAATTTAACCATCTTAAACTCAGGAAAGCACCAGGACCGGACTCAATTTCGCCCAAAATGGCTAAAATGGCCTATAAAGCCATCCCCACCACTTTCCATCTAGTATTCAACAAGTGCCTCCAGCTAGGCCTTTTCCCCAGCTCATGGAAAGTGGCCTCCATCAAACTGATTCCCAAGTGCAACCA